CAACTTCCAAGGGAAGTGGTGCTCGGTCCTACCTTGGGGGTCTTCAAAAGGAGGCTAGATAATCACCTAGCTGGGGTCATTTGATCCCAGCATTCATTCCTGCCCATGGCAGGGGGTCAGACTTGATGATCTGCTCAGGTCCCTTCCGACCCTACCAACTTTGAAACTGAAAAAAAACTTGACAGTTTTAGCTTGATGGAAGTCATATAGTTTCATAGTTTCTAGGGTCGGAAGGGACCTGAGCAGATCATCTAGTCCGACCCCCTGCCATGGCAGGAAGAGCACTGGGGTCAAGCGACCCCAGTAAGGTGGTCATCCAACCTCCTCTTAAAAACCCCCAGGGTGGGAGCCTGCACCACCTCACTTGGAAGCTGGTTCCAGACTCTAGCCGCCCTGACCGTGAAGTAGCGCCTCCTGATGTCCAACTTAAACCTTCCCTCCGCCAGCTTGTGACCATTGTTCCTGGTCACTCCTTGCGGCGCTCGGGGGAACAGGGACTCCCCCAGTTGCAAAGATAAAATGTGCATATGCACCCATTTTGGGATTTATGCATTTGTTTCTTATGTCTGATGGTTTCTCTTCACTGCAGTACCTCGGCTGTAGAATAAACCTATATGGTAGCTGCAGCACAGTAGTTCAATGTGGTTGCGCTAAGGGCCTCTTTATACATGCAGGTAAAGGTGCAATGGGATCTAGTTCGTGACCCATACAATCACACCTCCTGCCATGCCAGATGTGCATAGCAGGAGGCATGATTGTGGGATCATGTACCCCATCAAGCCTTATTGCTGGTGCAGGAGGAGCCTAATCCCTTAAACACTTTTTGACCCACATAGTTATTTTTGTATTGTGTTCTTTCTGTCTGCTCTTTCTTATAAGCAAGCATAGAATTGAAAGGAAAAGCTTACTCTCCTAGACTACTTCAGAGAGCAGGAATTTCATTCATTCATCCTGGTTTCCAATTCACTCTGTTCTGTGAACCAGCAGAAAGCTGCTCTTGTAAAAACTTTCATTGGAACACAGACCACTCAGTCTAACATCTGGCATTTGACTAGTACAGCTTAGAGTTTCATAGTTTCATAGTTAGTAGGGCCTGCCCTGCTGCCCCCTGATCGTGCAAGTGGCCCTCCTCTGGACCCTCTCCATGTTGTCCACATCCCTCTTGAAGTGCGGCGCCCAGAACTGGATGCAGTACTCCAGCTGCAGCCTGACCAGTGCCACATAGAGGGGGAGGATCACCTCCTTGGACCTGCTCGAGATGCATCTGTGGATGCACAACAAGGTGCAGTTGGCCTTCGTGACTGCATCCCCACACTGCCTGCCTATATTCGTCTTGGCATCAATGATGACTCCAAGATCCTTTTCTGCCTCTGCACTGACGAGAAGGGAGTTCCCCAGCCTGTAGGTATGCTGCTGGTTCTTCTTCCCCAGGTGCATCCCCTTGCACTTGTCAGTGTTGAATCCCATCCTATTCTCATCTGCCCACCCCTGTAACCTGTCTAGGTCCGATTGTAGCCTATTCGTCCCTTCTAGCATGCCCACATCCCCCCACATCTTACTGTCATCAGCAAATTTGAACAGGGTGCTTTTAACCCTCTCGTCCAAGTCACTGATGAAGATGTTGAACCAAGCCCTGGGGGACCCCACTGCCCACATCCCTCCAGATCGAAAATGACCCACCCACCATCACTCTCTGGGAGTGGCCCTCCAGCCAGTTAGCGACCCATTTGACTGTGTAGGTGTCAACACCACAGTCCCCTAGTTTTTTAATGAGAATGGGGTGAGAGAGAGTGTTGAAGGCCTTCCTGAAGTCCAGAAAGACTACGTCCACTGCTACCCCTGCATCTAAGGGTTTGGTGACCTGGTCATAGAAGGCCACCAGGTTGATCTGACAGGACCTGCCCCTAATGAACCTGTGTTGGTTGCCCCTAAGCATAACCTCCCATGCTGGCCCCTTGTGGACATGTTCCAGGATAATTCAAAAAGCTTACCCAGGATCGAGGTTAGACTAACTGGCCTATAGTTTCCCAGGTCCTTCTTCCTCCCCTTTTTGAAGATGGGAACCACACTGGCCTTCTTCCAGTCCTCTGGCACCACACCAGAGCACCATGAGTGTTCGTAAAGTTGTGCCAGGAGTCCCGCAATGACCTCAGCTAATTCCCTCAGCACTCTGGGGTGGAGATCGTCAGGACCTGCTGATTTAAATACATCCAGTCCCTCTAGAAGTTCCCTGACTAGATCCTCACTGACATTTGGCCTGGGTGTGCCTCCCCTGGGGCCTGAGGGGGTCCCTGTGGGGTGGGGGCATTGATCTGGTCCCTGCTCAGGAAAATGGAGGCGAAGAAATTGTTACATAGGTTAGCTTTGTCATCTGGTGTGACGACCAGATTTCCTAGTGTGTCCTGCAGAGGCCCCACGTTGCCCAGTACCTTCTTTTTGCCCCCTATGTATTTAAAAAAGGACAAATTGGTTTTGTTTTAGAGGATTAATTGGTTTTGTTTTAATCTACTAAAAAGTTTACCACCTCGAATATGTTCTTTTAAAGGAAAGATTTAACTCATCTGCTGTTAAGCAATTTATGTATTAACGGGCATATATTTAATGGTTGTGTTTTTTAGGTGCTTACAACAATGCAGGTCTAGTTTCCATGGCAAATGTTATAGCTCCTGGCTTGCCAGCTCCTCCACCATATACCCCTAATCAAGTGGTATCAGGTAAAGTATGTTTGTCTATGAAAGTAAACAGGGATATTTTGATTTTTTTTCCCAATTAATTGCAGCTGGATAATAACTAGTTTTCATTCTCTGTGTAGAAAATGAAGACCTTTCCAATCAGACAAAACCTTCCCAAAATCAAGGTAAGGTGCATCTTTGCAGGGAAAGTGTGCTCTATTTCAATGTAATTTCTTTCTTTTTAGAAACCATAAATTATTTTTAAACCTCAAGATCTTTTTTTTATTGAGGCCTGATTTTAAGTTTCTAAAGGGGGTTTTCAAATGTTACCTAGACACCAACGCCCAATGAAATAACGCATCAGTGGGCTCTTAAAAATTGCAGTTGTTTTCCACTGCAGTATGTTTAAGTGCCTTTAAACATCTGCCCATATTACATAGATCCACTCAAACTTTGCATTTTTAAGTGTGTGCACAATTGTCTCGAAAATAGGCCATTGACCTAAGAGACCGTACTTTGAGTGCATTAAAATGACATGAATAGTAACTGTTGGTACTTGCTTTTTGTTTAATTTAGGGCCTGACCGTGTAGTAGTTAGACAAACAAGAGTCAAATGGGAAACTTGAATGCAGAACCAATAGATTTTTATTATATGTTCATACTGTCTAGCTTGTAAAAATCCACATGTGGAGAAGCTTCCTCCCCACTGGTATGTGTGTCTGTACTCTCTTGTCTTCTACTTAAATTTCAAACTCTTTAAGGCAGTGTCTCTCTCTTCTCTGGCTTTGAACAACACTCAGGATCCATGAGTAAGTCTCCTTGGCATCATGGCAATACCAATAAATAATGATGGTGAAACTCATGGTCTACTGGTCACATGGCTGATGTGAGCAGCTATGCCAATGAGAAACCAAACTAATCTAAGTTATTTTTTAAAATTTGAACTTATCTTCAGTTTTGTAGGCCAACAAAATAAAGGGACTAAGTTTAATATTGCCATTTCAAAGCGTTCTGGGAATATACTCTCTTTATGCTTTCTCTTCCCCTCTCCTATGCCCAGTTATAGGTGTACCAGTAGTAATATTTAGAGGTGCATTTTGATGTAGCCGTGTACTTACATGTTAGTTATACAAGAAAATCAGTACCCAGAAACACAATTCCCAAAATAATTCTTGGGTACATAGACCTGCATTTCTCTGATATTGACTTGGACTCAGAACCAAGGGTGAAGATTATTACTTAAATCTTTAATTTCAAGGTTAGGGGGAGTTGGGAGAAGAGCTCATGTTTTGGGCTTGTGGTTCCTGGCTTGTAGCAAGGAAAAAGGAAAATTATTTTATTTGGCAATGGCTAAGATGTTTAAGATTTTTTTAAAATAGAAAACAAATATTTGCAGATCAGTCTAAACAATGCCCTAAAATATTAGAGTTGAGTGGTTTGTTTGTTTGTTTGTTTTCTTGCCACTGCGCAGCACCAGCAGAATCTGGAACCAGGGGTGCTGCCCACCAGCACAAGCAAGGACCTGAGGGCAGCTTGCCCAGGACCTGCTGGGAGGACGAGGCTGCTTCTGCACAGCATCCCCTGTGGAACCTTGGAGATGCATTCTGGCCCCGCAGACCCTCACTGAGCCACACTCAGGCCCCGGTCTCTGCTGGCAGGCATCACCCAGGCCTGTGGGGCCAGTGCATCTCCCAGGTGCCATGGGGAGTGTTGTACGGAAGCAGACCTGCCTTCCTAGCACCGTGCCGCAGGCTCTGGGCAAGCCATGCTAAGGCCCTGGCAGCTCCAACTGCCTGGTGGTGCCAGGTGAGTGGGTAGGACTGCTTTTGCCCAGCAGCCACCACAGTTTGAGTGGGGTTCATCCAGCCCCTGCCTCCAGGGGATGGAGCCTGGCTGTGCACCTCCACGCTGTCCTGTCCGACCCTGCCATCAGGGCTCCTGGAAGCTGTGGAGGGTGGGGTAGGAGGAGAAAGGGAAATGTGCATCAGGAGGCTTGATGGCAGGGCAGGATAGCATGGATGTGCACAGCCAGGTTTCATCCCATGCCCCTCCCCCGATGCAGATACGGCTGGCAGGTGCCTGATCCAGGCGGGGTGTGGGGCTTGAGGGTGGGCTGGGGCTAAGGAGTGTGCTTGTGTGTGTATGTGCAGCCCTCAACAGCTTGCCAAAACTCATTAAGTGGCCTTCCATCCCAAATAATTGCTCACCCCTGGATTAGGCATAAAAGAAAGAAACTTTCTGTGCGACAGTTACACCAGCAGTGAATTTGGCCTTCTGGATCAATGTTCAACAAAAGGTTATTTAGGAGATAACATTTGTTATTTAAAACATAAGGGTCAGTTGCTAGTGAATACTACCTGCCTCACTTTTTCCCCCCACAAGGAAACATGTTAAATTGGGTGAAAACTAAATCCTGATATGCCTGGATTCAGACTTAGTGCCTGTATGTCCACTAATCTGCTATTGCGCCATCCTGCTTTCCTCCAGTGAGCACTGCTGACGTCTTTATTTTACTGTGGTGTAGGGTTCATATAAGCAGAACTTCATGGTGTTAATGTAACCCATTGGTGCTGAGAAATCGGAGGCTTGATGCTTATTGGGAACAAACTACGCATAAAAGCAAGTCTCTAGAAGCAAGTTTTATTTTGAGCGTAATAAGTTTCAGTCATGATCTATGACACAAACTGTGTTTCAGAATCAAATAATGAAAGATTTCAATCTACATACCAGTAAAGATTAAAAGTAAAATCTCTTAAGGCCTGTACTAGACATGCAGGTAAGACAAAATAGGATTTAATGCACAGTCCAGTTTTAGTACTTCCTGTCATGCCACACATTTGTAGGATCACACATCAGATCCCATCATGCCTTATTGTTGGTGCAGTGGGGAGTCTGGGATCATGATCCTGGGCTCCCTCTGCACTGGAAAATAGCAAACTCCTACAGCTAGGAGCCCCATGGATCTGGGACCACATGGTGTTTCTATGTTCCCCCACTCTTCCAGCTGGGAACCCTATCGGGTGTCAGGACTCCCAGCCACAAGGGTGCATCTAGCTCAGGGGTGGGCAACTATTTCAGCTGGAGAGCTGCTTAATGAGTTTTGGTGAGCTGTCAAGGCCTGCAAGGGTAGCCTTGCCCTTTAAGAAGCGCCCTGCCCCCTGTTTGCCATCTTGGGGCCACAAGTCCTGCCCTCTAACCCCTGACTTTTGCCACCAAAGTCCCTCCCCTTGCCCCTGGAAGTACTCCTTTTCGGGAGGGGGTTTGCCATCTTGGAAATGGGGGGGGGGGTGAATTATATACTAAAAATCAAACATCCACAATAACATTAACTTTATTTAAAAAAAATATTTGTGTCCTTATTTGTTGCATTTGCATTGTGTATATAGAGGTGATGCATAATAGCTAAACATGAAGTCTTACTCTTGTGTATTGCAGAGGGGGGT